ATTTAGCCATGTGATAAAACTTTTAAGTGTGCCAGTCAAATATTAATGATGATATTCGGGTCATTATACTGGAAATAGTCTTTTAAATATTTTGTAGTACAATTGATAATCTTCAGTATGATTGACCGTGTATATGACTTTTATAAGTCTATGTTATTTTTGATGAAAATTATTATTGCAGATAAAAGCCCTTTCACATTTATTTTAGTCTCCAATTAAATTAATAAAAATGAAAATAATAACATCTCTTATATCTCTTTATAACTGATCTTTAAATGTAAAACACTGACTTGAAATTATATAATTATTGGCATTTTTTTAATTCATTGAACTTTTTTAAGATTTTGTTGAAACTCTACTGGTAAAAAAAAACAAATATATATATATTATAGTTCTTGATGAAAATAATGTATGCGCGTTAAATCGCATCCCATCAAGAATTTCTAATGTAATTCTTGGTGTAAAGCTAAGACGTGATAATAACTGTAAACAATAGAATAACAAAATAATGAAAACATTTACATTTACATACAAAACATTTACAAAAATACTTGCTTTATAACCTAATAAATATTATTTGACTGTAATAAAATAAAACAAGGTAGTCTTGAGCATGAAAGTAAAAATAAATATTTTCGATTATTTTTGCAATATCTAACAGCCGGATCAGCGGGCGATTCTGATTCATCTAAAGATGCTAAATTTTAACAAGCACTGTCAAATTCAATAGGAGTGACAGAAAAACGGTTCTTGATATAGAAAGGTAAATAAATTATTTAACCTATAAAGTAAAATCACTTTATTACAAATCAAAATAGCCCAATAGCTTTATTAACATTAGACATAATTGTACGAGTGCTTACAATACTTAACATTATTTTACTGAAATATCAAAAAGATTTTTTTTAAATAGAATAAGGGTGACAAACGAGCACACAGTCCACCTGATGGTAAGTGGCTGCTACGGCCCATACACATCTACATCTATTCTTGATTACGTATCAAAATGTAGATGCGTTGTCACCCGTGAGGACTAAGATGTAATGTCTCGTTTCCAGTAAAAAGGTTTTCCGGTTCTCTACACTCATCATACGAAACACAGCAGGGTTAAACTGCTATTTTCATGTTATTCCGTGAGAGCGTGGCCCTTCCCCGGTCGAGCCGACCCATTCGTGCTACAAATATACCTACTACTAATATAGCTGCAGCATAGCTCTACCACGTAAAAAAAATTGACGTTGAAAATTAAGTATTTTTAGAAGCAACTTTGCAATTATTTTCTATTGAGTTAATTTTTGTGGAATCGTGTTTTGCAAACCGCCACCTGAAATACGTACAATTTTTTTTCGATAATGACGTGAAATTACAAAACGATCCCCATGCATTACAATGTGGTTCTATTTAGCCTCTCAATATGAACATACCTCTGGATTCAGAGATTTTAAAAGTTTTCATGCGTAGATAATGGAAGATATAATATTATATTATTACTGTCCCGTGTGAGGTAACCTTTATACTTATATACATATTCTCATCATATTTTTATGGTAGGTTAGAAAAATTATATCGAAATGCAAACTTTCACAGGGTAACATTTTTTTTTTAATATTTTTACCCAACAAGTAGTAAAGCAACTACAATCCCATCGGTAAGTGGTTATGTAGTCTAAGATGGTGAATTGCACTGACTTACCAAAAACCTATTCACTCTTGCCTGATAGTACTAGGTAAGTATTATTTGCGACCTATTTGTGTGTGTGTGTGTGTGTGTGTGTGTGTATGTGTGAAGAAAAGTGTATGAGAATACGTGAAGAGGAATAAAAGTTATATAGCTAGCCCATTGCCATTTCACTGTAATATTCCGTTGAGCTATGTCAGTTACTCTGGTTCTAATGCAAATATCTTCATTTCTAACTTTATCACGTAGAGAAACCCCTCTCCAATTTAAAATTTTTACATTTTTAAGATGATAGTTTGTATAACATAAAAAAAACCATAAACCCAAGAATGTCTTTATATAGTTATTTATACTTAGGTAAGCACCATTCTTTTATTTATTTAAATTGTTTGATTTAATTTGATAACAGTGTACCTAAATGTAAGTATCTGTATCTTTATTTCTCTCCCCAATAATATTTTATAAAGTCATACTCATAAAAACAGCGTTTTATTGTAATACATAATTATAAAATTCATTATCAACTAATTAATAAAAATATGCAACAATAAAATTACATAGGTATTAAAAACTATCGAAATCTAAGTAACGACAGCATGTTCGTCTTTCCACATCTAAATTAGATAAAAATGCATTATTCAATTTCACTAATCAACGTCGCCGCAAAAATTTCTTCTTCTTTGGGCACTTTAAAAATTCATTTATTTAGAAAATAATATTTACAGTTACCAGTGTACAGATATTAACTAAATTAAGTATTTCTAGTCATAAAAATATTTATAATTCATTATAAACTTTTAAAAAACTAATATATATTTGAACGATGTCGCTCCAACATCGACGTGCAGTCCACCCTCGACGATGTCCGAAAACGGACTGTGACAGAGCTTACATGGCGACGGAGCATGCGCGCTCGTGTAAATATATTCAATTTCAGGGAAAAATGATATTTTCTCTTATAAAACGGGTAATAAAAATAAAACTCTCAATTAAAAATATTAATATTTTTAAGACCTTTTTTTTAGTGTAAGAACTATTTAAAAAGCTTGTGCCGTTTTGGATAAATTTTGCAAAATATGACAAAGATAGGTACTCTTTGGGAATTTTTTTTCTAATAAGGGGTTGACAAAAATACAAGTTTGTTAAATTAAAAACATTTACCAAATCTTCTTCTGTTACCCTGTATTTTTTCTTTGTGGATTAAATGAACAGTTATTGAGATTTTTTTACTTAAATATTCTAGATTTAGGCATTTCAACCACTGTTAAGGGTTAGTGATTTTTCCAAACGTGGCAATTACGGTAAATCATCCCGATAATGGCCACCGGCCTGGTTATTTTAACCCTGACAATTTTTGATGCTGCGCGAATAAGTATTCAGTAGCATTCTTTATTTTAATTTGTTAGTTAATTATTATTCGTTTATTTAGCAGTAATTAGATAGTTGATGGTATATTAAAACTCGTATGGTATGGTAGATTAAAACTATGAAAACCATAATATTCTCCAGTAATATCAGCGATAGTAAATTGAGGTTCGACGGGGGTAGCGCTATCGCAAAACATAGTCGCGAACGTTTAATATAAAACATAAATTTTGCTTAAAGTAATGTAGATTCCATGCGGTGAAAAATTAAATCATTTATAGATTATTAGACAATATAAGATTTTTATAAATATCATGAAATAACAATGTTTTGCTTAATTGTTAATTTCGTCAAACAATCTCTATTCATTGATTTGGTCAAGCTGTATCATGACATGGTCAACAAACTGTAAAATTTTATGAAGTACCAAGATTTCACAAAATGATCGACAACTTTATGATATCTCTACACTCTGGTTACGACATGTATAAAAATCTCTTTAATTAAACTAAAACAATAATGGGAGCTCTGCAATATTTGCAGTTTTAATCAATTCATTTATAGATTAGTACCCAATTAAACTAAAAACCATCTCAGATTTTAAAGTTTTGATAGATGTCACTATTAAATTTATTAGTAACTGGAGGCAAAACTACTTTTTGTATTTTAAAATTGATGGCGCCGTTTTGAAAAGTGAGTTACGTAGACTGTTGGCTTAGTTTCACATGGCAGTAGATACTAGATAGTTTGTACATACAAATAGGTTTTATTTCCGAGAAATCGATTGTGCCTCAGTCTATAAATTTGAAAAGAGGCATCCACCTTTAACTTGCTATGATTGGTTTTCTGTCAGTTGTATAAATTTTTGTGTAGCTACAAATTCTGGTCAAGGTTACCTATCGAAGTTTCTTTACAATATAATAATGATTTTTTTATTTTGTATTATCATTGTAATAAAACATCACGAGCAGATAGAGAGCAATGCCAGGAGTGCTAAATTTATGTTATAATATGTTGGCCGAAAAACATAGACTTTTTTCGAAAACGTTGTAAAATTTATAAAATAAATGGTCTTTGATTATTATCGTAAATTTAAATAACGCTACTTTAATTTATCACATCCACGCGAAGCTGGAGCATTGACTTTTACAACCCAAATATCATCTCACACTAGCGATCCGTCCCGGATTCGCACGGTGATTTCTGGATCTTGACCACAGCGCCACTTACCTGGTCCAATTGTGTGAATCATTTAGATTATCCAGGATGATCACTCAAATACACGCACAAAAATTCATCAAAATCGGTCCAGCCATTTTCAAGTATTTGCGAGACTAACAGACAGCAATTGATTTTTATATATAGAGATTATATTATATAAACTAGCTGTTCCTCGCGACTTCGCCCGCGTGTTATTTGGGGTTTTAGTTTTTTTGCGCGGAACCCTAATTATTTTTCTAAAATAAAAGTATCATAAGTTACTTTTATTTAGAGTATCTCAGTAGCCGGGGGTAATTAGGAAATAAATGTTTTCTTCTGACCTTCACCTTTTGCGTTATGGTAGCAGCAGGGTACATTATTTATTACGGTTTAGTGTTGATTAGCCTGGCTGCTACATCACTCTCCCCCTAGCGAAAGCGTACCGGAGGCTTGACGACTCGCCCATGTCTCGTAGTTTTTAAAATATGTTTCATCTGGGTTGATGTAGATGATGGGTTTTCAAGCTGCCTCGCTAGTGGTTGAGATGATGATGATGATGATGATGATGGTGAATCCTCTGAAGCATTATCGTTAATAATATAGGCAGGCTTTAGTCGGTCGATCGATATAATTGTAGATTTCCTTCCGGGTATTTGTAATTTAAAAGTCTTGCTATTTCGCTCTAATACTTTATACTGTCCATCGTAGGTAGGTTGAAATTGTTTCTTCACTGTGTCGTTTCTTACAAAAACTTGCTTTTATGTTTTCAAATCTTGATGAATGAATACTGATTTATTATTTCCGTGTGATGATGTGCGTTTCGACGATAAGATTTTGTTGATAGATTCTCGACGTTGAGTTACAAAATCGTAATTCATTTTTTGATTATTTGACGATGTTGAAGTGAAGAAGTCACACGGTAGTCTTATGCTGCAGCTGTAGGTTAGCTGAGCGGCGCTAAGACTAGTGTCTGCACGCGGTGTTGCTCGTAGTCCAAATAGCACTGTAGGTAGCTCATCAATCCACTTTGTATGTTGAGATAAACGAGTTTTGAGTGTGGTCTTCAATGTACGTTGCCATCGTTCGACTATTTTGTTTGATTGAGGATGGTATACCGTTGTAGGTGTCTTCTGTATTCCCATAGTTTGAAGTAGTTTGAGAAATAGGTTGCTTTCGAAGTTTCTTCCTTGATCCGTTGTGATGGTTTTAGGTGATCCGAAACGAGTAATCCAATTTTCATAAATTATCTTTGCGATGGATTCAGCTGAAGTATCATCGGTAGGTATTGCTTCTGGCCATCTTGTTGTTCTGTCGACCATTGTTACGAGGTAACGATGCCCTTGCGGTGAAGTAGATAATGGTCCAACGATGTCAACGTGCAGGTGTTCGAATCTCTCCGTAGGTGGAAATGAAGCTAGGCTGCTTGATGTATGTCTTTGTACTTTTCATTTTTGGCATTGAATGCATTGCTTCGCCCAGTTGCCAACATCCACTTGTATTGAAGGCCAAAAGAATTTTCCAGTGATTAGTTTTCTGGTTGCTCTAACACCTGGGTAACTGATGTTGTGCAGTGCATTGAAGACTTCGCGACGACATTCTTCTGGTAGGTATGGTCGCATGGTTGACGTTGAGGCTTCACAGTAGATTGGTAGATGCGTCATTGGTATTGTAACTTGCTTGATGGACAAGTTACTATGCTTCGATAGATGTTTGATATTGTCGCTATCTCCGTCTTGTGCTTCGGCGATCTTGTGATAGTCGATTGATTTAGGGCACGTTACACTGTCAATTGGTATGCGACTGAGTGTGTCGGCGACTATGTTGTCCTTCCCACTGATGTGACGTATGTCGGTCGTGAATTTACTTATGAAAATGAGTTGTCTTGCTCGTCGTGGTGTTTCCGATGGTGATGGTTTCTTCTGAAGTACATATGTTAATGGCTTGAGGTCGGTAAAACGGTCAGGTTTCGACCCTCGAACGTTTTTCTGAAGTGCTTGATAGCCATGTAGATAGCGAGTAACTCTCGGTCGAATGTACTGTAGTTACGTTGAGTATCGGAGAACTTCCTCGAAAAATAGCCAAGTGGTTGCTATTTCCCATTAATGTATTGTTGGAGTACAGCTCCTGCTGAGAGATCGGACGCATCGCTGAAGATAGCAAGGGTTGCTTCGTGTGATGGGTGAGCGAGCAAAGCTGCTTTGATTGCAACTTTACAAGCTTCAAATGCCTTCGTGACTTGTGAAGGTAAGCGTGAAGTGGTGCTTGGATTTCAGCGGCTTTAGGTATGTGTTCTCTGTAAAAATTAACCATCCCAAGAAAACGCTTTAGTTCTTCGATTGTTTTAGGTTTCGCATAATCGATGATTGCTCTGACTTTTTCAGTAGGCGGTTTGGTTCCTTCCTTACTGACGGTGAAACCAAGAAATTGAACTTCTTGTTGTCCAAATATGTATTTCGAAGGGTTGATTATGATTCCATTGTCTTCAAATCGCTGTAGCACAGTGCGTAGATGGGTTTCGTGCGTTTCTTTATCAGGGCTTACAACAAGGAGATCATCAATGAATGCGAAAACGAAATCCAGTCCATGAAGTACTTCGTGTATGAATCTTTGAAAGGTTTGACCAGCGTTCTTCAGTCCTGGGGTCATTCTTGGAAATTCGAATAATCCCATTGGGGTAATTATTTCTGTCTTCTCTATGTCTTCATCGCGTACTTTTATTTGTTGGTAAGCTCGGTTGAGATCGATGGTGGAGAATATAGTCTTGTCTGACAGTTGATGAGTGAAATCCTTGTCTCGCGGTATTGGGTAGCGGTCAGGAGTGGTAATAGAATTCAGTCTTCTGTAATCTCCACAAACTCGTAATTCTCCATTCTTCTTCGGTACAACGTGAAGTGGTGATGACCAAGGGCTTTTGCTTGGACGGCATATTCCTTGCCCGATCATGTTTTCGAATTCCTTTCGAACTTGTTCATATCGGTGAGGTGCGATTGGACGTGCACGCCAATGAAGTGGTGGTCCATTGGTTTCGATGAAATGTTCAATGTCGTGCTTCGGTGTTAATTTCATTGAAGTTATTCTTGTGATTCCAGGATGTTCTTCAAGGATCTTATGATACGATTGTTGAACATCTATGCTTCTTATTGTGGGCAGATTGGTTGCTTGGACGAAGGACTGAGATGCAAAATTGGTTTTCCCGTCGATGATTCTTCTATTTTTAATGTCGACGATCAACTGTTGATGTTGAAGAAAATTAGCACCGATGATTGGTTTGCTGACTTTAGCGACGATAAATCTCCACTTGAATGGTCGGCGTAGGTTTAAATCCAGTTCCCTTGTTTTTTCTCCATATATAGGAATCACCGTATTGTTTGCTGCGTAGAGTTGAAAATCCAGTGGTTTCATCTTCTGTCTTTGTTTCGGCGGTAAAACTGAGATATTTGCTCCGGTGTCGATAAGGACTTTTCTGTTACGCCGGATCCCGTCGCATCAAACGTATTAGTTAGTTTTCCGACTTCATATTATCATTTTTGAATGTACACGGTGTTGTGCATTTTCTTGCCTCGAACCCGAAACGTCGATGATAGTAGCAGTAAGGGGATCTTGTTCTTGAGCTTGATCGACTTCTACTTGCAGAGCGGTTGCGACGAAAAGTTGATCTTCGGTGTTGCTGATTGCGCTGGTTGTACTGTTGGTAACAGGTTTGATGCTGGGAAGCTTTGAGCGCGGCGACTTTGAATGATAGCTTCCGAATTTCTTCGATAAGAAACTGGGTATCATTGGCCTTGGTTGAAGTGCCTTCGATCATCGATATGTGTGAGCTACTGCTGTTTTCGATCATATTGTTCGCCAGGAGTGCCAGTTTATCGAGTTTCGTCTGCGTGCTGAATGTTTCACTCACTGCTAGTACAGATCGAACATGTGGGGGTAGGTGGTTTATCCACATTAGCCGTAGCGTCGAATCTGGGACTTTATCTCGTGCCGAAGTACGCATTAGGAGTTGTGTGGGCTTCTGGTCTCCAAGTTCTATTTCTGATAGAAGTTTCTGTAGCTGGCGACTGTCGGATTCTTCATATGCAGAGATCAGACGATCCTTCAGCGAATTATACTGGTCGCTTGCCGGTGGGTTGTACAACAGGTCCGAAATTTGTTCGATGTCTTGTTTCTCAAGTTGGGCGATCACCATCTGCGCTTGACTCTCCTTTAAATCATTCGTCACGGCTTCAAAACTGATGAACCAAAGTCTGGGTTTATCTCTCCCAAACAGTGGTATTCTCAACGATAGAGATATACCGGCAATTTCTTGTTCCTTGGCCGGGTTTGATGTATATGCGTCGGATTTCTTCGCTTCTCGCTCCATAATGACGTCTTGATTACACTGATTTTATATACTGAAGTCTTCCTTGATATTTATTTGATATTTTTCCTACTATTCTTGCAGGGATCTTCCTCCTCGGTATTCGTAACGGGGTCACCAATGTAATAGTGGTGTATTGGGTCCACTATTAACAGACTCCGAGTAGTTTAGTGGCGAAGAAATGAAACTATCTTTCTGATATGCCTTACTATGTGCAGGCGAATGGAGTGTGGAGTATATTTTATTCAGCTAACCCTGCCTATATTTATATATCCGGCTACGTCCTTAGTTTACCAATAGTATAATATTTTATTTACTTAGCCAATTACAATACATACATTTTGACCAATAAAGATTAATAAAAATATTATGTACAACTATTAAGTGTCGCGCTCCATTTGCCGGCGTTAGACTCATGGATCGCTTCTCGTAGCTGCGTTGCTGGACGGAGCTGTAAAAGTGATGCAGACCGGCGCGCGCGCGTAATCGGAGAGCGGCGGCGGCGTGGGACACATCTCCGGAACAGCAAGAAGAAGCGAAGCTGCGGCGTTGAAGAAACGGCTCGAAAATGGTCGACGGATGCGTGAAGATAGCCGGCGTGTGAAGACGATGCGGTGCTGATGATATTTGTGGCTGCTTCTTGCTTCTATTAAAACGTTAAATATGAAGTGATGTGGGAAGATTCTTAATAAATTACTCACCAATCACTTTTTATAAAAGTTTATTATAAGCAGAAGAGTTCACACAATTAAATATTTCATATATGCTATAGTTCACAGCTACAATAATTCACGAATACAATTTTTCACAAATAGAATAGTTCACATATAAAATACTGTTTATAATTTAGCACAAAACATAGCACAGAAGTTATTAGCATGAGAAGGAAGAAAAACGTCCAAAGCAAAACGCAAAAACAAAAACAAAAGCCGGGCGCAAGCGTCATACGTCTAATCGTCACAGATTATTAATTTTTGATTGTTTATTTTTCTTTTTCAGATTAATGACGCCACATCACTCCCCCCCAGAGACCATCTATGATGGGCAATAATAATCAGGTAATTTAACTCTGCGTCCTGAGCGTGTACAACTTTTCTCATACTCTTCTTTTTTCTTTGCAGGTGGTGTTCGACATGCTGAAGCGTCAGAGGGTATATAGGCAGGTTTTATTCTATCTATTGAGACCGTTTGTTCTTTGCCTTTCATGAGTAATTTGTAAATCTTGTCTCCTCTTTCCAGCACTTTGAAGGGACCGGAGTACGCTGGTTGCAGTGAACCTTTTACAGAGTCATCCCTGACATAAACGTGAGTCGCATTTGGTAAGTCTTTAAAGATAAATACTTTTTTACTACTGTGACGTGTTCCAGGTGATGGACGAATATTGTTCATTATTAGCCTTAAGCGTGATAAGAAATCCGTTATATCTCTGCTACTTTCGCTGTTGTTGGAATGCAGAAATTCTCCTGGTAACCTAAGTGATTCACCATAAAGTAACTCAGCGGGTGATGCTTGAAGGTCTTGTTTCAATGCATTTCTCATACCCAGTAATACTAATGGCAATGATTCTGTCCATCGTTGATTATTGTGACATATAATAGCGGCTTTCAGATGTCTGTGCATCCTTTCTACCATACCGTTGCACGCTGGGTGGTAAGATGTAGTTCGCTTATGCTGAAATCCGATTAGATTGGATAGATGTTTAAATAAGGAACATTCGAATTGTCTTCCTCGATCTGTGATGATTTCAGCAGGGCACCCAAAACGCGAGATCCAGCCATTAAGAACTGCTTTTGCAACAGTTTCAGCAGTGATATCTGATAAGGGTATTGCCTCAGGCCATCTGGTAAATCTATCAACTGCTGTAAGACAATAGCGATATCCATCTGATACAGGTAAAGGTCCAATGATGTCTATATGGACGTATTGGAATCTGGCAGGTGGTAATTTGTATGTGCCTAAAGGTGCGGAGACATGACGTGTTATTTTTGCACGCTGGCAGGGGTGACACGTTTTCGACCATTCACGACAGTCTCTCTTTACTCCTGGCCAAACGTAGCGTTCTGTTATCATCTTTGTTGTAGCTTTGACCCCAGGATGGCTCAGCGAATGTAAACTGTCAAAGACTTGCTTCCTTAAGTTTTGAGGTACGTAAGGCCTTTGATTTCCAGTTCCATCATCACAATATAGGTCTGTCTTCGTGCCAGGTATTGGTACCTTAACTAATCGAAGTGATGTCCCACCTTTCAGAATTTCTTTCAGTTCCGTATCCACGTCCTGCATTTTGGCTAAGGTAACTAGATTAATAGGCTGAGCTAATTCTTCCACTCTTGAAAGCGTATCAGCCACTATGTTATCTTTTCCAGAGATGTGTTGGATGTCGGTGGTGAACTGTGATATAAAATCGAGATGACGATACTGGCGGGGTGAGCACTTATCTTTTCTGATGTGAAATGCATAACAGATTGGTTTGTGATCAGTAAAAACAGTAAAATGTCTTGCTTCAAGCATGTGTCTAAAGTATTTCACTGACTCGTATATAGCAAGAAGTTCCCTGTCGTATGGCGAGTATTTCTGTTGGGCTGGTTTCAGTTTCTTAGAGAAGAATGCAAGTGGCTGCCATGATCCATTCTTTACTTGCTGCAAGGCGGCACCGATTGCCTTATCTGAGGCGTCGGTTACCAAACCTAATCTTGCGTTTAGATCTGGATGTGCCAAGAATGCTGCTTGACAGAGGCTAGTTTTGCACTGCTCAAAAGCATGTAGGGCTTCTCCCGATATATCCACGGAACGTGATCCTTTTACGGACCCCGTCAGCAAAGAGTTTAATGGTGCCTGAATTTCAGCAGCTCCTTTGATAAATCGGCGATAAAAGTTTAGCATCCCTAGAAAACGCCGAAGTTCTCGTACGGTTTTCGGAGTGGGGAAGTCTTTGATGGCTTGAACCTTACTGTCTAAAGGCTTAACACCGTTGGCTGAGACGTGATACCCTAGAAAGGTGATTTCTTTCTTACCAAATTCACATTTGCTCGTGTTGATGACCATACCAAATTCCTTAAGTTTTTCAAAGATTTGGCGAAGATGATCAAGATGGCTGTCTTCGTCCTGGGAAAATATTAGAAAATCATCCAGGTACACGAAGCAAAAATCAAGTCCTCGTGTTATCTCGTCTACAAACCTTTGAAAGGTTTGGCTCGCATTTTTTAAACCATAACTCATGTATGGAAATTCAAACATACCAAATGGTGTGGTGATGGCTGTCTTCGGAATATCATCTGGGTTAACTGGTATCTGGTTGTACGCTTTCACCAAGTCTAGCGTAGAAAAAATTGTACAACCCGATATGTAATGGGTGAAGTCTTGTAAGTACCTGATGGGATATTTATCTGGAATTGTCTGTGCGTTTAACATTCTGTAATCGCCACATGGCCGCCATCCGTTATCTTTCTTTGGTACAAGATGGAGCGGAGAAGACCACGGGCTCTCAGATGGACGTGCTATTCCACTCTTTATCATTGCCTCGAATTCTTGCTTCGCTATTTTCAGTTTTTCTGGTGATAATCTTCTCGGATTGCAAGACACAGGTGGTCCTGGCTTAGTACGAATGAAGTGGACGGTACTGTGCTTAGGAGCTTGCGGTACACCTGACGGTCGGGTAATCTCCGGAAAGTCACGTAGTAATTCAACATACTTTGAATTACCTCTCATGGTTTTAACAGAAGCTATCACATTAGCTGTAGCAGGCTCAGCAGGTGTTTGCAACGAAGTACTATTATCTATTAACCGACGGTTACGACAGTCGACAACGATATGGTAGAATGATAAAAAATCAATTCCGATGATTGCTTTGTTTACATCGGCTACTACAAAGCGCCATGAAAAATCTCGTCGAAGTCCCAGATTTAGTTCGAGATGAGCATAGCCGTAGGTGGGTATGGGAGTTCCATTTGCTGCAAAAAGTTCATAAGATGTTCGAGGTCGTCGTTGTTTAAGTGCCGTGCGCGGGAAGACACAAAGGTCGCTTCCAGTGTCGACCAAGAATTGCATCTTCGTTCTGCGATCCGTGACAAACAGGCGACCGGATGAACTGAGGCAATCATTTGTCGCCACTAACGACTGCCCTGATCGTTTCCCTGTTGGTAATCACAAGGCTTAACGCACTTATTAGCCTTATCGCCGAATTTATAATGATAGTAGCAAAATGGAAACCTTTTATAATTTGACTGAGACCGATTACGAGTATGACTGTGACTATGGTTGCGGTCTCGTTTGTTGTCTCTATTTTGCGACCGTGATTTCCTTTTATTTCGGAAGGATAATGCTTGCACTTGACGAGTAAGTTCCGCGATCTGTTTCGACATTGTGTCAAGTAAAGATCCTGGTGCTGCATCCATTGAAGCTACGTGTGGAGATGCCGGAACAAGTTCGTGCACCTTATCGGCTAAGGCAGCCAGTGCTTCCAAAGTTGAGTCAGGCTGTGATGCAATTACGGTTTGCAAATTGTTTGGGAGGCGACTAGTCCATATTGTCCTGATAAAGTCATCTGGGACGTTAGGGCCCGCTAAATGTTGCAAATGTCGTAAAAATTGTGACGGACGCCTATCTCCAAGTTCCTCATGCATTAACAATTGCTTCACTTCTTTTTCTCGAGATGCTGAGAGCCTCTTGATAAGTTCTGTTTTAAGTTTCTCGTATTTATCTTTTTGAGGTGGTGAAACTATAATGTCTTTGACTTCTGCCGCATATCTATGGTCTAATTGTGCAATTACATAATAATATTTTGTTTCATCTTCTTTAATACCGGATAGTGCAAAATTCCCTTCTACTTGTGCGAACCACACAGCAGGCTCTTCAGCCCAAAACGGTGGCAGTCGGACACCGACACGACATATATCGGATGGTGTAAATGACTCTTCTTCGTTACGTGTTTCCCGTGATAATGATTGGGAGGGTTTAGCTTGTTTCTCTGCCATCTTATTTAGAATATTGTTATTTAAATATAACTTTGGATTCTGCTTACGTTTGGGTTCTCGCAGTACAAAGTCCAAGCGGGGTCACCAGTGAAGTGATGTGGGAAGATTCTTAATAAATTACTCACCAATCACTTTTTATAAAAGTTTATTATAAGCAGAAGAGTTCACACAATTAAATATTTCATATATGCTATAGTTCACAGCTACAATAATTCACGAATACAATTTTTCACAAATAGAATAGTTCACATATAAAATACTGTTTATAATTTAGCACAAAACATAGCACAGAAGTTATTAGCATGAGAAGGAAGAAAAACGTCCAAAGCAAAACGCAAAAACAAAAACAAAAGCCGGGCGCAAGCGTCATACGTCTAATCGTCACAGATTATTAATTTTTGATTGTTTATTTTTCTTTTTCAGATTAATGACGCCACAAATATATGTACATCAAATTATCTCGCATCGATATGCAGCCTGCAGTATCTCAGTAGCCAGGGTAATTAGGAAATAAATGTTTTCTTCAGATCTTCACCTTGTGCATTATGGTAGCAGCAGGGTACATTATTTATTACGGTTTAGGGTTGATTAGCCTGGCTGCTACACTTTCATCTGCATTTAGTAAAAAGCTGTAATTTTGACATTACAAACAGACACTTCAATTTTATTTTTTTGTATAGACATTTATATACATATTACATATTTTAATATAATTTAATATAAATATATACATATTTTAAGCTTTTCCTGTTGCGTATTCGGGGGGGGGGGGGGGGCAAAATTCCGCTCAACACAATAGCTGCTCGAGGCAAACTGAGCAACAAGACCACGACGACCCCTGCCACGCTATCCGTGAATTTCTGCAACATCAGGGGACTTCACTCGAACCTAAACGCCGTCCACTACCATCTCGAGACGGCGAAGCCGGCCTTACTCTTTCTGACCGAGACGCAGGTGTCCTCTCCGGCTGATACTTCGTATCTCTCCTACCCGGGGTACAAATTGGAGCACTCCTTTGTGCCTCGGGCTGGAGTTTGCGTATACGTCAGAGAGGACATCTGTTCTCGACGCATCGGTAATCTCCTAATCGGACCTGTCCATCCTTTGGCTACGCGTAGACAGCGACGATCATCCGCGCGTCTACGTGTGCCTCTATAGGTCCCATAGCGGTAATGCCGAAACAGACCGACTCATCAACCACGTCCAAATGGCTACAGATTCCTTGCTACAACAGGTCCCATCCGCAGAGATCGTTGGCGCCGAATGGCTCGGTTCACGTTTAACCGAAATTGCGGGGAGATCTGTTTATGACTTTGCCTTGGCATATGGTCTGACACAACAGGTTACTTCGCCTACGCGGATTCCAGATGTGGAGGATCATACACCTTCCCTGTTGGACCTTCTGCTGACCTCTCATCCGGCCGAATATCAGGTTTCCGTCGGTGCCCCTCTCGGCTCTTCGGACCATTGTCTGATCCGGAGTGTGGTGCCACTCACGCTCCCTCCGCGGTTGCGTTCTGCAGGTTGCCGCCGTGTTTGGCATTACAGGTCGGCGGATTGGGATAGAATGCGGTCTTTCTTTGCATCCTACCCATGGCGGCGGGTTTACTTCTCGCCGGATGATCCTAGCGCTGTTGCTGACTCTGTCACTGATGTGGTGCTACAGGAAATGGAACTATTTATTCCATCATCTGTGTTACCCATCGGAGGCAGATCTCAGCCTTGGTTTGGTCGCTCCTGTAAGACTGCATTACCGCAGTAAGCAGGAGTGTTATCAAGTCTGGGCTGCGGCTTCGGCGACTCGGGATGTAAACACCAAAATACTTAAATAGAAGTATACCTTCGCCTCCAGGTCCTTCAAAAGAGTTATTGCCAAGGCATAGTCAGAATTGGCGAGAAACTAGTTCGCCTTCCTTCGGGAACCCGTGCATTCTAGTCTCTCGCCAAGGCTGTCCAAAGGAATTTCTGTAAGCCATCACTACCATCTCTGCACAGGGAGGACGACTCACTGGCCCACGACGCCAAAGAGAAAGCCGACCTTTTAGGCTCCCTTTTTGCGTCCAACCAACCACAGGCCTGTCGCCATCACCCCCTTTTTCTCCAAAATAATGGAATCCGTTATAAACTGCCACCTCATGTGGTACTTTGAGGATCACCAGCTGATTAGTGACCGCCAATACGGTTTTCGTCGGGGTCGATCAGCTGGTGATCTTCTGGTCTACTTAACTCATAGATAGGCGGAGGCAGTAGAGTCCAAGGGGGAGGCATTGGCCGTTAGTTTCGACATTGCGAAGGCCTACGATCGGGTTTGGCACAAAGCGCTTCTTTCGAATCTCGTTCCTACGGGCTTCCCGAGAAATTATGCAATTTGATCACCAGCTTTCTTGCAGATCGGAGCATTAAGGTCGTTGTAGACGGTGCATGATCCGACTACAAGCCTATTAACGCTGGTGTTCCGCAAGGCTGCGTGCTATCACCAACGCTGTTTCTTCTGCTATTCGGATGACAACACTGGTGATGCTCTATACACCGGCCGTGCCAATATTTCTTGGGAAAACGTCGCCGAGTACCGGAACAAACTTGTGTCTGAAGTCGAGTCTTTGCTGGACAAAGTCTCGGATTAAGGGCGACTTAATCTAGTCCAGTTTAATCCTCAGAAGACACAAGTTTGCGCGTTTACCGCTAAAAAGAACCCCTTTGCCGTATCTCCTCAGTTTCAAGGCACTCCCCTTCTTGCCTCGGCCAGTATCGGAATCCTCGGCGTCGACATATCGAGTGACGTGCAGTTTCGTGGTCACTTGGAAGAGAAGGCCAAATTGGCCTCTAAAAAGCTTGGCGTGCTCAGCAGAGCGGGACAGTATTTCATGCCGGCACAACTCCTGCAACTTTACAAGGCGCAGGTTCGGCCTCACATGGAATACTGTGCCCATCTCTGGGCAGGGGCTCCCCAGTGCCAGCTCCTTCACTTGACTGCATCCAGCGCAGAGCGGCTCGAATCGCCGACGACCGAGTCCTTTCCGATCGGCTCGACTCATTGGCGCTGCGAAGAGATGTTTCATCTCTTTGCATTTTCTTTCACATTTACCACGGGGAGTGCTCTGAGGAATTGTTCGGATTGATCCCAGCTGCAAACTTTCACGAACGTACATCGCGGTAGAACTCCCGATACCATCCACACCATCTGGATGATTGGCGGTCCACCATTGTGCGATTTAGAAGATGTTTTCTTCGTCGCACAACTTCCTTGTGGAATAGTTCACCATCAGCAATTTTCTGGACCGATACGACTTAGGGACCTTCAAGAAAAGATCCTACTCTTTTTTAAAAGGCCGGCATTGCATCTGCAATTCCCCTGGTGTTGCGGTTGTTCATGGGCGGCGGTAGTCACTTACCATCAGGTGAGCCGCATGCACGTTTGCCCCCTCTCCTATAAGAAAAAAATATTGCTGTATAAAAGAATCATATATTCTCTCAAAATCTTCATTCTCTCAATATATTCCCTTAAACTTCTTCCAAAGATTGCTTTCTAACTAACATTTTTCCATCCATAAGTTATTCCTTATGAAAAATATA